AAGGGAGAGGGAGAGATGGAAACATCCTATATAATAAAAGCCTACTATGCTAAGTGTCCGGTTGTCCGGTCGGCTGTTCAACCAATCAAAGCGTAATACGCTAATGATATGCTAAGGCTGCTCAACCGCTCGCTATGACGTGCACTGACCACCAGAGGGCAGACAGTTGACCGGTTGACCAGTTGCTATGACATCCACTGACCACCAGGGGGCAGATGCTCTGACTGGTAGGTTAGCTTGCCTCTGGGGTCCGGCCGATCAGATCTGCGTCCCTCCCCAGCCCCAATCATGCACAGGTGGGGTTCCTCAGCCTGGCCTGCACCCTCTCGCAATCCAGGACCCCTCGGGGGATGTCAGAGAGCCGGTTTGGGCCTGATCCCGCAGGCCAGGCCGAGGGCCCCCACTGGTGCACAAATTCGTGCACCGGGCCTCTAGTCTATAACGAAAGAGCATCATTCATCGGCTCCCTCCTGCATGCCCCCCTCCTGGGGATCAAGGCCACAACCTGGGCACGTGTCCTGACTGGGAATCGAACCGTGACCTCCTGGTTCATAGGTCGATGCTCAACCGCCAGCTATGTGCCATCTTTAATGACTGCATAGCATCCTCTGTTCTGTATCATTTCCTTAACTAGGTTCCCGGGGATGCACATTGAAGCCGTTGCCAGCTATTGGCATCGTTATCAATAACGGCCTAATGAGCGCTCCACTGTGCTTTGAGGACGGGCTGACAGATGTCCCTGATCTCATTGGGTCATGATTGTCTGTGTGCCTGTCTTCTCACCAGCGGGCTGTTAATTCCCCGAGGGCGAGCCCATTACTTCTCTTGGAATCCCCAGGCCTCGCCAAGTGCCAGTGGGAGCTAATGATACATATTGTTGAAAGAAAGAAGAAGCAAATGAATGGATGTTTATATAGTTGGTACACGATGGTGTGTGATCGCACCGTGTCTTCAGTTCTTACTCCGTTTCATTGGCCGTGGGCCTGAGTGTCTCTCTCCCAGGCATTCTGTCGTCCTCCACTGGTTTCTAACCTCTTATAACAGATCTCATTTCCACAAACATACGTCTAATACGAAGCTTTAAGAATTAGAATGTTTAAAAAAAAATTAGGCCTAGTTGGAGTGGCTCAGTGGTTGAGCATCGACCAATAAGCCAGGAGGTCACGGTTCGATTCCCGGTCAGGGCACATGCCTGGGTTGTGGGCTCCATCCCCAGTGTGGGGCGTGCAGGAGGCAGCCGATCCATGATTCTCTCTCATCATGGATGTTTCTGTCTCTCTCTCCCTCTCCCTTCCTCTCTGAAATCAATAAAAATATATACATATTTTAAGAAAGGAATTAGAATATTGCGAAACCATGACTTCTCCATAGGTTTTGGCAGCCTTCGGGACCTGTTTCATCCATGGCGGAGGGAAAATAACGCCGACCCCTGACGCTCCTTTCTCCTGCCCTCACCAGAGATGACTTATGAAAACCGAAACTGGCCATTACACGGAATAAAACACATGTTGTGTGTGTTGCATACTATTTACAGCTGTTGTCTCTTAGGGGTTCTCTGGGGTACTGTTGGCTGCTACAGCCAAATGGTCCCGTAAGTTTAACTCAGCACTATGCCCGCAAAATCCTCTTAAATCACACAGAGGAGGAGAGGAAAATCGACGAGACGTGGCTCGAATGCCGCTTATATCTTCCCGAGAACCCACGGCTCTCTTCATTCGAGCCTTCAGGAGGCTCAGAGCAGCCTGCTGGGTCAGTGGTTCTCAACCTTCTGCCCCTTTCAATACAGTTCCTCATGTTGTGACCCAACCATAACATTATTTTCGTGGCTACTTCATCACTGTCACGTTGCTACTGTGATGAATCGTCATGTAAATATCTGATATGCAGGATGGTCTTAGGTGACCCCTGTGACAGGGTCGTTCGACCGCCAAAGGGGTCGCGACCCACAGGTTGAGAACCCCTGTGCTAGGTGGTGGGGCGCATTACAACATAGCAGATGACCCGCCTGACCCTCCAAAGGAAAGTTATGGTTGATGCCGATTTGTAAGCGCAGCCTTGAGCTTTTGACTAACGCACGGGGGTGGCGGGAGGGGGGCGGGCAACGGTCTAAAAAGGAGAGCGGCCTGCGGCGTTGAGAATTTACAGCAGCTTAAGCTATTTTTTTTTTTATTTCTCCTTGTCGGGCGGGGAGTGCTTCCCAGTGTCGCTCAATGGGCTGTAAATGAACCTAGTTCAAAACCCACAAAGCGGGCTGTGGAATTACAGGACTGAAAATAGGCTACTGATCGGCACAGACTCATCAGGCCTCTTTATTCTCCGCAGCCCTTCTGTTGGCGTGCCAATCCCGCTCGCTCCGGAAGGCGGAAAAAGGGATTGTGAGCAAACGGGGGAGCGGGGGGAGCTGACCTTCAGTTAACGTCCACTGTGCCCTTCTCCCCCGCGCCCTACCCCCGCTGTGCCGACTTAGTAAGTTCAGTTAGCAGATCACGAGTCTTACGTGAAGAACACCCAACCCAATACTCAGTTTCTTGAGAAGGGTGTGTCTCTCATCTCGGGTAGGAAGTGGTGGGGCAGGGCCCTGGCTGGTGTGGCTCAGTGCATAGAGCACCGGCCTGCGGACTGAAGGGTCCCAGGTTCGATCCCGGTCAAGGGCACAGGCCCGGGTTGCAGGCTCAGTCCCCGGTGGGGGGCGTGCAGGAGGCAGCCGATCCATGATTCTCTCTCCTCATTGACGTTTCTCTCTCTCTCTCTCTCTCTCTCTCTCTCTCTCTCTCTCCCTCTCCCTCTCCCTTCCTCTCTGAAGTCAATAATTTTTGTTGGTTTGTTTTTAAAAGAAAATGATGGGCAGGAACCTGAACTCTGGAGACGTGGCTTGTAAGGTTGTTGTCTACTGCAGTGGGGCCATCCTGTCTCTGATTCAACAAAGGTGTTCTGAGCAAGGATGTCGGGATTATTTCTCAGGAGCATGCTCTTTGGCATGTGTTTTTTTCTGATGAAAAACCATCATAGACTCTGTTTTTTTTTAATTGAAAAAATCTTACTGTTTTTTTTTTTGTTTGTTTGTTTTTCAAAATTGATTTCAGAGAGAGGGAGACAGAGGTAAAAGGGTCAATGAGCCCTACCTGGTTTGGCTCAGTGGACAGAGCGTCGACCTGCTGACCAAAGGGTCCCAGGTTTGATTCCCAGTCAGGGCACATGCTGGGTTGCGGGTTTGGTCCCCAGTTGGGGGCGTGGAGGAGGCAGCCAATCAATGATTCTCTCTCATCATTGATGTTTCTATATCTCTCTCCCTCTCCCTTCCTCTCTGGCAAATAGACATCCCCTGAGGGCTCCTGGGCTGCCAGAGGGATGTCTGACTGCCAGCTTAGGCCCGTTCCTCCGAGGAGCGGGCCTAAGCCAGCAGGTGGACATCCTCCGAGGGGTACCAAACTGTGAGAGGGCACAGGCCAGGCTGAGGGACTCCCCTCCCCCGCCCCAGTGCACAAATTTTTGTGCACTGGGCCTCTAGTATTTTTTTTTTTAAAAAGCGTCAATGATTCTCTTTGCAAATTGAAAAAACTATTATGAGCCTAAGATTGAGGTGCCTCACTCTGTTGTCAAATCTCTCGAGGACGGGGCTCCGTGTCCAACAGGCAAAAATTCCCAATACACGTTGCGCACATGACTCTTATTTCTACTGAGGAATAACAAGCATCATCTCACCCACAGACTTTGTAACTGGCAAGGCGGGGAACTAACATGTAGGGAGTGGCAAGAATATGCCACTTACACCTTTCTGCTTTCGTTTTTTTTTTATCCTCACCTGAGGATATTTTTTCCATTGATTTTTATTTTATTTCAGAGAGAGTGGAAGGGAGGAGGGAGAGAGAGAGAGAGAAACATTGATATGAGAGAGAGACACATCAATTGGTTGCCTCCCACATGGGCACCTACTGGGGCTGGGGATCGAGCCTGCAATCGAGGTACGTGCCCTTGACGGGGAATCGAACCCACAACCCTTCAGTCCGCGGGCTGACGCTCTCACCACTGAGTGAAACCAGCCGGGGCCATCCTTCTGTTTGTATAACAACCACAGGAGGTCAGTATGACTGTCCCCATTTTACAGATGGTAACATAGCGTCAGAGAAATCAAGTCAGTTGTCTGCGTGTCGCAGCTGGTAGTGACGAAGAGAAGAATCCTTCCCATATCCGTGACTTCCACTCTGGAGAGTTCTTTTTTTCGTGGTCTCTCTGAATCTGCTTCTGAGCTTCTTCTCATGCCTCCAAGTATTTACATTTTTTGTGTTTGTTTGTTTGTTTTGCTTTGCTTTTAATACATTTTTATTGATGTCAGAGAGGAAGGGAGAGGGAGATAGAAACATCATGATGAGCTGTAACCCGTTTGGCTCAGTGGATAGAGCGTCGGCCTGCGGACTGAAGGGTCCCAGGTTCGATTCCGGTCAAGGGCATGTACCTTGGTTGCGGGCACATCCCCAGTAGGGGGGAGGCGTGCAGGAGGCAGCTGATCGATGTTTCTCTCTCATCGATGTTTCTAACTCTTTATCTCTGTCCCTTCCTCTCTGTAAAATCAATAAAATATATTTTTTTTTAAAAAAAAGAAAGAAACTTCATGATGAGAGAGAATCATGGATCAGCTGCCTCCTGCACGCCCCCTACTGGGGACTGAGCCCACAACCTGGGCATGTGCCCTGATCGGGAATAGAACCCTGACCTCCTGGTTCTTAGGTCGATGCTCAACCCCTGAGCCATGCTGGGCAGGCAAAAATATTTACGTTTTTCATAACAGCCTTGAGCTTTGACTTACATCCTCTCTCGAGTCTCGCCGGCCCTAGAAGCAGGTGGAAGAGGATAAATGTGGGTCAGATGTGCGTTAGAGACAATGGGCCTAGTTCGGACGTCACGATGGTCCAGGGTAACCTCCAGGGGGCCCGTGGGGACGTCTTGATGGAAGTGGGAAGCGCATTGAGGTTTAGTTTTCCTCTGTCTGTTTTTTCCGACAGGGCAGCGTCCGTACCAGGTGATCACAGCCCGCGTCCACCCAGGAGAAAGCAACGCCAGTTGGGTGATGAAGGGGGCCTTGGAGTTCCTGGTCAGCAGTGACCCCGGGGCCAGGCTCCTGAGGGAAAACTTCATCTTCAAGATCATCCCCATGCTCAACCCCGATGGGGTCGTCAATGGCAAGTACGTGGGGCGCTGGCCCCACCGCCCTGGCGTTGATGTTGCCATAGTAACACATTTGTGGGTTCATCCGGTGAGGGGGCGTGATCGGAGGAGGCCTGGCGGGCATACCTCCTCCTGGGCTTTTTGTACTTGGAACAAAACACTGTCTATTCTTCACTGATGCGGTCTCATCGTTTTTTATTTTTATTTATTTATTTTTAAATATATATTCATTGATTTCAGAGAGGAAGGGAGAGAGAGAGAGTGGTGTCAGCGAAAGGGAATGTCGGTCGTGAAGTGGCCTAAGGAACTGTGCCTAGGGGAGGAGGTAGCGATTCGGTTCGGTAGATCAGACCTAACAGGATGCAGAGACCGGCTGTGTGTGAGGGCCCCTGTGAGGGGCCCTGCCTCCGGGCAGGTGTGCGGGCCACGGCTACCAGCCCCCGGCACAGGTCCCCGCGGTGGGTTCCAGGAGGCGGAAGGACGCTCTGAGACGAGAGGGCCAGATGTTGAGTCTTTGATCCCCGTGGCAGCTTGGTGTGGACGCAGCTGCAGGCTCTGTGTGCGGACCTCATCTTCTCACTTTCAGGTGTCAGTGTGTCGCCACCGCTCTCCGGCTCTCCGTCGGGCTATCCGGCGGCCAGACCCACTCCCCACTCTCTGTGATCCCACGCGTCCTGGGAGCGCTCGGCTGCCCGGCCGCTTTCTTGCTGCCCAGTCATCTGTGAACCTCCCTCATTCAGAAGGTGAATACATGGAAATGGCTTCCACAGACAAGGCCGGTTGCCAAGCAACAGGGCATCCGCAGTACCCTTGTCAGTTAGGGAAGTGGAAACCAGCCGGGGTCATTTCTGGGAACAGCCGCAATCCTAACCCCCTTCTCTCTTTCCTTCCTTCCTTCCTTCCTTCCTTCCTTCCTTCCT